GTCTTTTCCATGTCTTCAGGTGCCATCTTGATCTGATTGTAACCTGAAAAGCCATCCATGAAAGAGAACACCTTGTGCTGAGCTGTATTATCAACAAGGACATCAATGTGAGGTAGGGGGAAGCCATCTTTGATCGCGTTTTGAATTAGGTCCCTGAAAAGAAAACATTGTGAGGTTTTGTGGCCTAGGAAACTATGATATTTGCAAAATCCTCTCTTCTTTCTCTGATCCAAAGGAGGTATTTTGACATTTGATGGCACAATTAGTTGGCCATCTTTGACAAGTAAGTCAAAAATCTCGTCACATTTAGTGACATCGAAGGTATAAACCTTCTTTGGAAATTTGTCACTTTTCTCATTTTCAACAATGTATTTCCCTTTTGTGGGAACTAACAATTTGCAGGAATAAGGCGGGGCCTGTTTTAATTCAGCGAGGTCGATTTCGACCTCTTCGAATTCGAATTCAGGATATTCTTCTGCTTCCTCAGTCCCAACATAGGAAATCCTTTCTTTCTTGCTATTCTTAAAGACTCTGGCTTTTTCGGCCTTTAGTCTTTCGACCTGTCGAACCCTATCGGCTAACTGAGCCATATCCCTCAAATATTGAGTGTCTAGTTTCTTTCGAATAGAATAATCCAAGCCACCAGCGGCCATTTCGACTAACTCATGTTCAGGCACTACTGTGTAACATCTGGATTTCAAAAGCCTAAATCTATTCAGATAATCATCTATGGGTTCGGTGAACTTTCTCTTAACACTGGCCAATTCCTTCAAACTTATTTTCGACTGTCCCATGTAAAATTGTTCATGGAATAATCTCTCTAAGAGAGCCCAAGTGTCAATGGACCCAGGAGGCAAAGTGGTAAACCATGTGAAGGCGTTTTTAGTCAAGGAACTTGGGAAGTATCTGATCCTGAGATCTTCATTATTGGCTATATCTCCCGCTTCGGTTAGATATCTCGCTATGTGTTCGACTGTTGACTCATTGGTATCCCCAGCGAACTTTGTAAATTTAGGGACTTTATATCCCCTTGGTAAATCAGTATGCATTATGCAATCCAATATAGGAGAATCATAATTTGGCCTTCTCATTCCTGTGTTAAGGCCATTCTGGGCCATGACTCTTTCTATCATGGTGGTTAGGTTGTTTTCTGCCAAGATGTCATCGTTTCGAATTCTATGAACGACAGCATCGGCATCTTGATTTCGACCAACCAAGACAACTCCCCTAGGTTGTTATTCTCGAAACTCTGGGGCTTCTAGCCTTTCGACCCTTGCCCCTGGTTCCATAATTTCTCTTTGTGGGCTCGGGATTATTGGGGCTTCTAACCTTGGTGCCCTGGCCCCTAAGTTAACTTCTTCTCTGGGTGGTCTATAAATTGGGTCGTTAGCAATTTGTTCTATAACAGGCATGTTTGCTCGAAATCCCGCCTGATTCTGCCTACGCCTTTCTGGGGGAGCAAAGAAATCTGCTATTCGACTCATATTGTCAGCGTTTTCTCTGTTTATCACAGTCACATTTTGCACTATTGGGGCAAATATCTCCTGCATGGTTTGTGCTAACACCCCTATCATATTATGGTTACTGTCATCCATCAATTGCCTAAAAGCCAACTGGTTGTCTGTGGTTAAGATAGGCATTGTGCTATAACCCACTGACCCTTGGTTATTTGTCATAAACTGATTCGCCCCAGACCCAGATCCTAGTTGTGGGGATGGATTCGATGTGGAATTGTGTAAACCTGCCATAAAAGATGTTGGCATTCCATAAGAGGAATTTCTGGTTCTATTCCCATCGAAACCGGGTGGTCTAGTTAATGGAGTGGCGAAATGGGATTGTGTCCCTGATGGTGGAACAAATCCCCCAGGGTAACCAATGGTTTCAGTATTTCCTAAGATCGAACTATTAGTTGATATGCCACTTACTCCATTGATGGCTATGTTACTGGTTGAAGATGCAACAGACTGTGCATTCGAAGGGATTACATTAGATGTTCCGATCGAAGTGGACGCATTAGTGCCTGTTGTATGTGGGCCATTTTGTTCCCCTTGTTGATTGTCAGAATTAGACATTTTGTCCAAACGTTTTCTTCTGGATGAAGGTTGGTTGCTGTTGGTTATTTTACCACTTCTCAGATTCATAAAACAGCAAACTTCTTAGGTTCCAACGTTTTTATAATGGTCATGTCTCAACAATATTTATTTCTAATATCCAATTATTGGTCCCACCAGGTGTGCCAATTTGTTTCCAGCGATTTCTGGTAAACAACCGCTAGTCTTCCAAACTATCGAATAATCTTTCTGACTGTTATTCAATTCCTCTGGTAACTCACAGGATCGACTAGATTGATCCTAGGATTCCTTGGACATTAAGGTTACTCTCACGATCGAACAGATATTCATGGTTGATATTTGAGTGTTGTATATGCGTTTGGCTTATTTCGATTTCTCTCTCAAAAAGTCTAAAGATGTAATCAAAATGTGCGTGTACGAAACTAAGTTGCATGAATAAATGTTAATTGTAAAGACATGTAAAATTGCATAAAAGTCAAGTAAGTGGTTTCGAATGATAAAACAGTTAATGTAAAGGATTTCTGGAACGTAAAAAGTTTGAAATATGAAGAAAGCGTTTAATGCAAGAAATCTGTAAATGACTTTAAGTAAAAATATGCGTTCGAAGGATAAGACTTGAAGGTAAAGGTATGGAAAATATGACAGTTTTCTGAGATGTAAAGTGCTTGAAATGTGAAGAAAGCATTAAAATGTAAAACTTTGAAGAAGAGATTTCGAAGTGAAAAGACTGTAAATAATAAAACTTGTAAATGTTATTTGACAAAAAGATAAAGGAAAGTGCTGGAAATGGTAAAAGGTTTTCATTAAATCAGAAATACATGGTGCTATCATACGTACATTTCTCTTGCATTCGTTTCCCTTGCCATGTGGTAGTTTGAATGTTACTGAGTATTTAGTACAATAGATATGACACACGAAATCCTAATACTAAGACTTCTATTTATACTAATTCGACCATAACGGTCTTGCTATAAGATTATGCCACGTTCAGAACATGCAGAACAATGCCTATTTCTTCTTTCCACGTGTCCCCAAATGCTCCAGCACATAACTTTCAAACTTCGAATGTCCCGCTTCCATTTGAATTTCAAATGCTTTGGTACTTCTCCGTTTCGAACGCACTTCCCAGACACAGCCTTGTTGTTATTTCGAGACTTCTTTAGATATGTTCCCATAATTGCCACTCGAAGCTCCAAGCTTTGACATGCTTATTCGAAACACTGCTTCTGCTACTTCGAAACATGACGCTTTACCTCATTTCGATCGAAACGTTTAATTCATTTGACTTCTAATAACATTATCAAAATCTTCAGCCAACACCATGACAGGTAGTTGAATTTGAGCTTTGGTCTTTGAGTTTGCAAGACGGGGAAGCTAGTTTCCCACAGACGGCGCCATTGATCTGACCTGATCAGACTTGGACCGTTACGGCTGGCTCCGAGCTGAAGTTTTGAACGAGGTGGGGGGGGGGTTACCTGCAAGACACTCCGATGCTGAAGTGAGTAAGAGCACGAGCAGGCAATAGTAAGAGTATGGGTAGAATGATGAATACCTGACCCTCTGGAAACAGAGGGTATTTATAGCCCCCAGCGCTGGGCCAAGGTTCCTTCATTGGGCCGGGCAGGTTTGGCCCAATGGAGGAACTGCCAGGTTCTACGTGCGTAGTGGGGACCTGCACGTGGTCCTCTCCCTGGATGTTCTGCGTGAAGTGCGGGCGGACAAAGACGCGGTCTTTTCGGAGTCCCGTTGAGAGTGCAGTGGACTGAGTCTGCCCTAGGAGGGGTGCTCGAGTTGGAGTCGAGCTGGACAGTAGGAGGTCGAACAAGTAGCCCCAGGGAGTACGTCGGGCACGACTGTGATCCTTTGGTCGGCGTGACCCCCAGCAAGTCCGTTTGGATTGGGCCTTATCAATGCTATTGGGCCAGCCGGGCCCAGTCCAGAACAATATATATATATATATATATATATATATATATATATATATATATATATATATATATATATATATATATATATATATATATATATATATATATATATATATATATATATATATATATATATATATATATATATATATATATATATATATATATATATATATATATTATAAAACTTAAAATATAGGATAGATTTTTAAATTTTCTATATTTGAAAGATTGTTTTAATAATGATTTTCAATTGGAGATTTTTTATAGTAGAAATTGAATATTATTATTTTTTATAATTGTGATAGGTGAATATTATTATTATTATTATTATTATTAATTATTAATATAGAGTTAATTTAATAAAAAATAGTTTAAAAGTGAGTTATTTTTTATAGATAGAATTTATAAAATAAATGAGAAGAAAATATAAAATTGAGGTATTAGATTTAGATTACATAGATTTATAAAAATTATTTATTTATTATAATAAAATTAGGGATATTAGATTGGATAAATATAGTGATTTAGTGCGAATAATAAAGTTTTTAATATGATGCGATATTCGATTAAATTTTTTAATATTATGTCACATTAGATTTAATGTTAAAGTTATGTCTAAGGTAATCATCGTAATAACTTTAGATTAAATAGTTAATTATAAAACTTTCCTATATTAAAAATATAATACTTGTGGGATGTCTGGTTTAAATGTGAGGTCACAGGTAAAAAACAAAACCTCTTCAAAACCCAAATCTATTTTCTTTCAAAAACAAGATCAAGCCCTCTTATTTATCTGAACAGTTAAAACAAAACCTAGAGAATTCTGGGTATCTGTAGGACTCTAGAATGTTTCAGAATCATCGCGACAAAATGGATAAACCGACAACACTTTCTCGATACTAGAAGATTATTCCTCCATCTCCTTTATATACCTGCGCTTCCGAACATCGATAATCAATTCTCAATTTACAGAGTTTTCAACGACTATACATCAAACATGTCGCTGATTCCAAGTTTCTTTGGCAACCGAAGGAGCAACGTATACGATCCATTCTCCCTCGACATTTGGGATCCCTTGAAGGATTTTCCATTTTCCAGTTCTGCAATTTCTGCTTCATTCCCTCGTGAGAACTCTGCGTTTGTGAGCACACGAGTTGACTGGAAGGAAACACCAGAAGCACACGTGTTCAAGGCTGATCTTCCTGGACTGAAGAAGGAGGAAGTGAAAGTTGAAATCGAAGACGACAGAGTTCTTCAGATAAGTGGAGAGAGGAACGTTGAGAAAGAGGACAAGAACGACGAATGGCATCGCGTGGAACGTAGCAGCGGAAAGTTCTTGAGGAGGTTCAGATTGCCTGAGAATGCTAAAATGGATCAAGTGAAAGCTTCCATGGAGAATGGCGTTCTCACTGTGACTCTTCCTAAGGAAGAGATCAAGAAGCCTGAAGTTAAGTCCATTGAGATTTCTGGTTGAACCGTTGAACTCAGAATGAACACTACTATTCTATAGCTTAAAATCAGGTTCTTTTCTTTTTTGCGGTGTGTATGAAATATATGGTGATGTAATTTTGAAATGTTAATGCACAAATAAATAAGCAGATAGTTTGTTGTTGTTCTGAGTGCTATTATAGCTGTATTCATATTCTAATGAATCATAATGAATGTTTTGAGTGAAAACAAGATCTACTCTAACTAGAGCTTGAAGTTTAAATATTACTATATTGAGGAATTGCAAAAACAGCATATACAAAAATGCCTCTGTCCTCATCTCTTCGCCTCTACCACAAATTTTAACTTTGAATCCAATATTAGTACTTTGATATGAATAGGTTGATTCCACCCTTCACCTTCTCTTTGCACTTCCCTTAAAAAAAATAATTTGATCTTGTAATGCTTTATATTGTGAGTTGGTGACAAATATGATTATATGATTTTGTAATTGCTAATTGATTGGCAATCAAAATGTGAAATTATATATTAGCTAGGTGTGATAAACCTTAGGATTTTTTTTTGTTGGTATGTGCGAGAAATTATGTGAATAAGTGTATTTATTTATGTTATTAACATGTATGATTGATCCATGAAGATTAGGAGGTGTTAGGACATGTTTGGTTAGGATTTGGAGATAAGAAAACATATTCTTCGAAGTTTGTTTTTCCTGTGAGCCAGCTTTACCCATCAAATTCTAGAATACCACCTCTCAATACTATTATGATTAATATTTTATGACAATTTGAAACATTTTCTCTTGTCTTTTTTACAATTTTCAATATATTTTGGCTTAGTACAATCAGATTCATGTTAAGTTATTTCTCGTCTTTACTTGTTTTATTTTTAATCTTTATCATCTATATCTAAGAGATAGTCTTGGTTCAATGGTAAGAGTATTCTATTGTGATTTTTGGGTCATGGTTCGAACTCTAAAATTTGATTCAAATGTAATGTAAGGTTATTCTATTGCGACTCTTAAGTTATAGATTCAAATTCCCTTAAATATAAGATTTGAGTTCAAATATGATGTAAAGTTATTCTATTATAACCCTTGGATCATAAGTCAAACTCCCCTAAAAATAAGATTTGAGTTCAAATGTGATATTTAGTCGGTTCAAATGATATTGTTGCATAAAATAAAAAATCCATTTTAAAATATAAACTATAGAACTATGTAACGACAAAATAATCATTACCATTTGTCGATTTATTCATAAAGGTCTTTTAAGTTAAAATATAGTTATAAATCGATAAAAATGGAAGAGGAAACAAAATTTTAGAATATAAACAATAGAAGTATGTAACGAAAATGTAATCATTGCCATTTTGTCGATTTATTCATAAAGGCCGTTTAAGTTAAAATATAGTTATAAATCCATAAAAATGGAAGAGGAAACAAAGAATAAAATATACATAAATGTTTGTGTAGCAAAACAATTTAAAGCCTTAAATTCTCCGTACAACTTTACATCTCTCAATTTTCATAGTAGTTTGAAACAATATAAGGCTGGAGAAAGATCACATACTGAGTGTTGATATTAACTTAGATTTATTAACTTAGATTTATTAAAATATTAGAGCATCCACATCCATCATACTCATTTAGGTTCTTTAAATATCTACATAATTTTTTATATTATTTTACACTTCTCAATTTTTTAAACAATCCATCTACAATTCTCAAATATCTATGTAACTCATCAAAAAATCTAAAATAGATCCCACATTTAAAACAAATCAACTACATTCTTACAATTTTATTTATTAATTTATTATCATGACCCACTTAATTGGAGTGTAGAAGCGTGTTTTAGTACGAGGACGTGTTTTAGTTCAGGAACGTGAAAACAAGTGAAATATCTATTTATTATTGACACAATTTCTTTAATAAATGTGTAGGAACTCTCAAAGAACACCGATAATCATGCTCTTAAATTTATTAAAATATTAGATTAAATTAGATCCGATTAGATTTAATATTTAAATATAATCTAAGTTGTATTGATTTAAATTTAATTAGGGTTATATATAAATAGTTCTAGTCTATATTATTATTTGTACTATTTAATAATATAAATTCTTATTTCTTTTATTATTCTCTCTTTCTCTTCTCAATATAGTGTCTCACGCACTAATAAATTGATATTCAGAGTTTTTGGTTATTGTTCTTAATCGAGTTTTCAAGAATTCCACGTTAGAGATCGTGTTTCTAGGACAAGTGAATTAATCACTGCGAAGATAGTTAGTGATAAAGACATTCTGAATTTTTTTTCAATATTTGACGGTAAGAATTGAATCCGATGAAAAAAATAGATGCAATATGTGATACGGTGACAGAATCGACTGTTATATAGGTTTTTCATTTGTATTCGTAAATGTTGCAGTAAGCAAGAGTCGCCATTGACTTTTCTTTTATCCAACAAAGGAAATGGTGAAAAGAACAGAAAAAAATCTTTCGAGATTATTTATGAGTAAGGGGGGTAGATTATGAAAATAGAAGGTGTTAGCACTCTTTCTATCTGTAGTTATCTACGAGCTCTTAGATGTTTAGCTCATTTTAAAATACCTTCTGCTTTGTATGTTTTTGAAAAATATTTTGAAAGCGCCTTAGTGCGGCAAACTTTGTAATGTTTCTCGGAATAGTAGAGAACGTATACAAAGTGTTTGAAAATATTTTTGAAAGAAGTTTTGTGTAAGTTTAAATATTGTTTGAGAAAGCATCTAACAACTATCTACTTTACTCGAAAGGTTGTTCTTTTCCTCTTTTCCTTTAGGCAGTGTTATCCTACTATCAGTGAGTAGGTAGCCCTAGTCGTTGGATGTTTGAGGGGCATTAAAAGGGACGTTTATACAGTCATAAAGACAACTGGGCAAGAAACTTTAGTAACTACCCTAGGGTTTTTAAGATCATACTGAGGCAACGCCGAGAGGGTCATTGAGGGACTTATGATCTTTAAATCGGAGGGTAGACACTAAAATCTCTCACGTTTCGAGAGATGTGACTGTTTTTCCGAAGGCAACCAAAGTGGGATACCTTAGAGGTGTATACGTTCAGTTGTGTTTGTATTCAGTTATTTATCTTGTGTTAGGTTTGCTAGCGTTTGATTTTTTTTCTTGCCATACAATCCTATTAGTCATACATCTAGACAGTTTATAGTTTACACTAATTAAAAGTGAGGAAAGATAAATCCTAAACTATTACAAGGCTTCGAGAAGGGGGATTAATTACATATTCAAAACTTTGGGGGAAAATAAAGCAGTAAATGTAAAGTCTTAATTATACTATTATATCCAGTAGGCAGTTACAATAGTATGAAAAATAGAATGCGAAAGATAATAACACGCGCGAATTGAAAGGACATCTAAAAAAATCCTAATAGAAAATCTTTTGTTTGTTTTTTGTTTTAATTTATGAAAATAGTTTAAGTTAAAAAAAATTGATCTAGATCTATATTTAAAAAAAAAGGTTAATTATTAAAGAAACATGAAATTTAAATAAAAGAAATTAATTCTATGTTTTTTTTTATATTTTTGTTATGAAAAGAAAAATAAATTAAAATGAAATTAAACCTAAGTTCTATTAATTTTAATTTAAAAAAATGTTAAAGTGATCAGTTAATTAATTTACCAAAATTAAAATTTAATTAAGAAAAATTCTAAATCTATTTCTATGTGATTTTTATATTTGTTTATTGATTAAAATAAAAAAAAGGAATAAAAAGAAATAAATAAAATGAACAAAACAAGAAAATAAAGATGGGTCTAATAGCAAAAGTAAACAGGGGGTGCAATCATCAGAAATCCCTAGGCCCGAATCTTTGAAAGCTTCATGCCCTGATCATGGTGTTTTCAGATTCTTGCATGGAACCTCTGATTCAACCATCCATAATTATTCTATATAAACTTAAACAAATGTTAGCATGTCATGATATGTGATTAAAATTAGAGATTCGAAGTTTAAAATTTTATCAAACCGGTGTTGTCAAATGGGGGTGTGCTAGGCGTGTAACGGACTGCTCTTGTGCCTTGTGAGACTCCTGGGGACTTCAGGATGATGGTTTGAGGCTTGGTATCAATCGAGAGAGATCGAAACCTTGATATATGACTCGCACCAATTATTTGATTTTTGGAGAGCTTTTTGAAGAGCTTTTAGAGAGATTTTTGGAGAGGAATTTCGTGCTCTTCTTGGCTTGCATTGTTGTGTATTTATAGAGGGAAGATAGAAGTGAACAAACATGGTAAAGAATCAATGCATTCATGGCATTGGAGACAAGGATAAAACACATTGAAAAATGTCCATATTTGTGATATCTTTGCCTCTTTGGTCACTTGCATGAACCTGGTCCCTTTGGATGTATCTTGCACGAAAATATGGGCCTTTTAATAGACCAAATCAAACCCAAATGTCATGGTCCAATATTCTTTGTATTTTATTTGATTTAATTCATATTTAAATGAATAAAAATTCAAATAAATAAATAAATAAAATGCATGTATAGATTTAGAGGTCCTTGGACACATCATGAACATATTTTAACTCCAAAAAGTTAGGCCCAATAACTTAAAATCACAAATTTTCTCAATTGAGATTTCATGCATTTCCTTTGAAAATTGCCCAACTTGTGCAACCCATAACATGCTCAATTTTTATCCAATGATGATGATCTTGGACTTTTTGGAAAGCCCAAGATATCTAATTCAATACCTCTTTTGATAAATTTTGAATTTGAAGATTTTATCTTTATGTAAAAGGTCTTGGAAAAAGTGTCTTTTGTTGACTTTCTGAAAATGACTTGTAATGTATAAGCTTGTATCTTTCAAATGGTGCATTTTCTTGAACTTGAGGATAAAAGAGAAGTTGTAGGGAATTGGATTCTCTTCAAAATAAGCTTTGGTTGGGGAAAAATGGATGAAGTTTGTGAAATTTATGTCTGGTCAAAGTTCAGTTGACTTCTCCTATATAAACCCTAATTTAGCAATTTT